GGCAGCCCCGTGCCGCGCGGGCGAGCCGTGTGCTGGCGTCCTCCCCGCAGCAGCGCGGCCGCTACTGTAAAAGAAAAGAAGAAACCCCATTGCCCCCGTTGTCGTGGCCCCGGCGCTGCCCGTTTTGCAAACACCTCACCCCCGCCCCCACCGCGTCCCTAGGACAGGCCCCAGAGCTCCTCGGAACAAAGTGTGCGATGGTATTTATTCCTGTAACTGCATCTTGCCTGCAAAGTGCTCAGTGTCGGTGGAGAAACAGTTCACAAAGAACGCTGGTTTAATGGTGGAAAGTGGTAATAGCGCAAAAGAAACCTCTAAATTCACACTGAAAGTATGTATGATCTGCCAGGCAGCTATTGGCAAGCAGTGCTTACTTCTGATCCACTCCTGCACTGCCTTCTCCCATCTCTGTACATGATCAATCTCTTGCTGAGTTTATCTAAAAGAATGAATTAATTCTGCATTACTGGTGTTAAGATGTGCACTGAAACACTGCCTGATACTTACATTTATTTTCAGATTGATATGTTTGGGATAGACACATAATTTTTTGCACACAATGTGAATACAACCAAGGGAAGAATTTAAGTGTGGTGGTGGATCACACATCTGGATTCCTCTCCGTGGCTGGAAGGCAGTTCTGCTAACGCTTGGAAGAAATATATTTCTTTTTAAGTATCATCAACATTAATTCTTGGCAGATCAAGGAGACAATCCTTCTGGAAGCTAAGCAACCTGAAGTGGAGGAATCCCACCACACCTGAAAATACAATCTTCTAACAATTCAAGAAGGCTGTGTTACTTGTGAAGGCACAGCTTTGTGAGAAAACAAATCTTTCACTAAAATGAATACAGAGCAAAAAAGAGACTTCAAGTCTTTAAGGAGTAAAGCTTGCCAGGAAGGTACTGTTAAGTGTAAGGCCAAAGGGCTGGATTCACAGGACAACTTAAGGTAAAGAAGTCCACCTTGTACAACCCTGCCAGATGACAGTTTTGGGATACCTCTGTCAGCCTTCTGCCAGAATCATGTCAAAGTGTCTGGCTTTTCTGACACTGATCCAACGGTAGCCACTTGCAAGGCAACGAACCATCTAGTGTTGTTTAAGGGACAAACAAGAACACGGAGGCTGTGAGCCAGGCAGAAGCCAGCCAGCAAGCCCATCAGTGGAACCACAGGCAATGTCTAGGGTGACAAAGACTCTATTATATTCTGTGCAGTAGTTGTGCGGTTATGTACATATAAAAGCCAAATGGAGACTGCAAAAATATCAGCCTTCAAGACAGCCAAACAATATCGTAATGTTTCTTTTCACTTTTGACTCAAAAACAGAAATATTATTTTCCAAAGTAATCGCATAACTTGTCCCTTGGCTTTGACAGCTTTTGCTGGAAAAGGGGATATTCCTATGGAATTCTTCTTTGTGTTTATTAATAAGTGCCAAAAGCCCATTGAAACATGAAGGAGATGCACTTTGAAGAACTCCCTCTCCCACGCCATGCGTAAGTGATACTAACAAATCTGCTTTGTGAAATCTCTGCATCAGTAACAGATTCACTCATTTATTATGTTCTTTCAATGATTCTAACAAAACAGCATTTTTTTGTTAATCAGGTAAGCTGTTTGCTACTGATGTCTAAACTACTGCTTGAGTGAAACCTGGGACTAGCAATAGCTCTTTTTTTTTTCTGCCTACCTTTTGAGAGTGGCATACCAGTATCTTCTCCGTGGAGCAAGTAAAAACTGCAGGTACTTCTGGACCAGTCACATTTACTTTTTAAGTGTACTACTGCAGCAATAATGTCTCATATAGTCTTCTACTCAGCAAGAAAGAAAACTGTGTATCAGTTATGAAGAAACAAGTCATGTTGTCTTTCATGATCTGAAAAGCAGTTCCATTTTCTGGATAGAGCTCCAATAAGTTCTCTGCAAGACAAGTGCCAGTATCTCTTGTAATCTGGTCTGACAAACGGCAAGGTTCAGGATGGATTTATTTTTTCACTTTCTGAAATAATTTCCATTAAAGATTCATAATCAGCATATTCCCTCAGGGATTGTATCATTTCATCTAGCATGTCTTCCCCTAACATGAAACATTCAATATGATGCATTGATCTGCTTATCCTGTGGTCAGTAATTCGGTCCTGTGGAAAGTTGTATGTTCTGACCTTCTCCGATCTTCCTTTAGTTCCAATCTATCAAAGAAGAAGAAGTAGGATATGATCACAGTCTTTTTATACAAAGGATTAAATACAGATTAAGAACCTGAACCCAAATTTTCGTATGTTCTGACCTTCTCTGATCTTCCTTTAGTTCCAATCTATCAAAGAAGTAGTAGTATACGATCACAGTCTTTTTATACAAAGGATTAAATACAGATTAAGAATCTGAACCCAAATTTTTCTTTTTCTTCCACAAATATAGAAAATTTGTTAATTATTTAGTACTAAGTATTTAGTAGTAAGACCAGCTCACTAGTTACAGTAATTCTTCTTAAGTATAAGAAGAACAATTAAAAAAGTAAAAGAACAATTTTACTACATCTTTCTCTAATACTGTTCTGGTTATTCATGCTCTAATCCAGTTTGTTTCACTAGGCCTCTGGAATTTATATTCTGCGGAACTATACTGCTGACCTAGAATGTAATTTGTGTTTCTTTGTCTCATTTAAGTTCTTTTCAGACTACTGTTCTCCACTACAGTTCCATTTCCTATTCCCAGTTCAACACAGGACTTACCCTTCACACATACAGCATTATGTCTTTGCAAAGTGAAACTTACCTGAATCTTTCGGACGCTGTTTCGCTTTTTAGTTTCTTCTTCCATTTTGAGATTGTATAGTTTAGCACAAAGCATTTGCATAGCCTTCTCTTTGTTTCTTATTTGAGATCTTTCTTGTTGACATTCAGACACAATCCCTGCCAAAAATAACAGTAGATTTAACACTTAACAGTAACATATACAAAAAGGTTTTCACAATTTCTGCAAGATTTTTATTATGTTAAAGTTTAAAATAAACAGCTTTTTTCTTCAACATATATTTTGGGGACCGGGAATGTAAAAGTCTCAGCTTATTAATATCTAATGATAGAGCTTGGGGGATAGGTGAGAGTTGAGTTGTACAGGTCCTGTAAACCATAAGACAAGAAACTTAATTAGATATGTTGGCAAATAGGTAAACAATGAAATAAAAGATATATGAAGATAGCTTCAACGTCAGTAATTTTCAGTCACGATTCAAGGAAAATTAAGAGTTAAGGAGCAATATTATACACTAGATAATGAGTATACGGAATATGGTAAGACGATACAAAAATAGGTAATATGTTCTTCAAAAAAGGTGCGCTTTCTCCCTGCCAAAACCTACAACTCAAGTTAAGGTAAGAAGTAAATAGCCTAAGAAAACAGTACGGAGAAGAAATACAGCAAAAAGATAGCACAAGGTAAGTTGCTATTTGGATTTATTGTGAGTACCTCTGATAAGTTTACAGCATATTTATGTAAGCTTACATAATATTACTTTATGAAATAGTTTTTTCAGACAAGTTTTTTGTAATAATGAAGGCCTGTGTACAAAGTTAAAAGCAGAGAAATAGAAGAAGTCAAAGAACATTTGTATAGGAACAGAGATGAAGAGGAATGAAGATGGAAAAGGAAAATGTGAAGAGATCAGGTTCGATGTAAAAAGCCCTCTGAATCATTCCTAATGCATAAACACAAAATTTTTGCAATACAGTTTAGGATTACTATAACAAACACTAATAACTACCTTCAGCAAAAAATAAGATCATTTGGGATTTTTTTTTCCAAACATGCAGACAGTCCAAAACTTTTGGAATGTACAGTTCTTCTGTGTCATCATATTTTAAACAGAATTCTATCAATTCTACTGCTTACTTTCTACTTTACTGAGGTGATGCAACAAGTGTAGAATAGATTATTGTCTTCTATAAATATGAAAAAATGGGTGGCAAAAATATGCATATGTGGAGATAACGAGGACTCAGTATTACCTTGAGGTTGTAAAGCCTGACTATTGCTTGTGGTAGAGAACAGGAAGAGTTAAAAAAACAATGAAAATCAAGGCAGCTGTTGTAGGTTGCTCAAAAGGAAGTAAAAAGCTTAGAAATGGCAATAAAAAAGATATGACAGCTCAAATCAGGTAACATTTGAGGGTGTATCTTATACCTCCTACGTTTCCTAACCTGAACCCTGGGAATGGACCTCCTAATTATGTCTGTGATCTGTGGGAAAGGAGCCAGAAGATTAATGTAAGTTAGTATCCCAAACAGACCCCAGGATAGACAGTACTTAAAGAAAAACATTTTAAGATGGAAATAGAGCAATCTCTCTGAAAGAAACTAATCAAAAGAAGGCAGGTCATCAGGTCCTGATCTACTCTGTTTTTTCAGTTCCCTTTCCATTATTTAAAAGCTTAAATACAACTTTTTCATATAAATTCTTTGGATGGTTTTAGAGTGTAATCCTAAATGGCAAAATGAATGGCTTTCCTACTGAAGTAGGTAGTAGTCACAGTTACAAATAAAGGGTGAGCACAAGACACTGCCATTAGAATACTATGAACACTTTTTGCATGCATGAAAATTTTCTGTTCTGCCATCATCCAGGTTTAAAAATAAAATAGTTGCTGCAAAAGAAATAGCTGTTTTCTAGCTCCAGATACTGAGTACTGCAAATGTCCACTTTTTAGCTATTTTAGCTGTTTTATCTGTAGCAATAATTACTTTTGTGATTTTGGTTGATAATGAATGAGCTCCTCCAGGCTCAAGACCGGTGCATCCCTCTGAGGAAGAAGTCCAGCAAAGCGGGCAGGAGACCTGCATGGATGAGCAAGGAACTCCTGGCAAAACTCCAGCAGAAGAAGGAAGTACACAGAATGTGGAAAAGGGGACAGGCCACTTGGGAGGAATACAGGGACATTGTCAGAGTGTGCAGGGATGCGACAAGGAAGGCTAAGGCCCAGTTGGAATTAAATCTGGCAAGAGATGTCAAGGACAACAAGAAGGGCTTCTGCAAATACATCAAGAGCAAAAGGAAGACTAGGGAAAA